GCAACAGGCGCCCTCAGCCATTTGGGCACCGAGTCTTCTAGGGTATACCCGACCCCTCTGACAGCCTGAAGGTTATAGGCCAAAATGAACAAGAGGCGTTCACAGAGAGAGGTCTGCTCGAGGTCGAACATTTGACGAAGGGATTTCGCCTACCCATTTTCAGGGACTGAAAAATCGCACGCACAGCTCTCACTATACGTCTCTTATGGATTTGATTAGTTGGAACTCATAAATATATCTGTTCAGATTTGCAAAGTTGAGAGATGGAGATGGAGATGGAGAATGAGATGAAAAAAAAACCTAAAAATAGAGATGGAGAAGTTGACGAAACTTCCTCGCTATTTACCCATAAAGAGAAAGTTGGCGACGTCGGACCCTCAGAGAACGAAGATAACATACTCAAGCACAGTCTCATTAAATGGATCAGCCGCCAAGGAAGAAGAGAGGTCTTCTAAGGAAGAAATCGCAAGTGAGAACCAACCTCTTGTGCAACAAAAGAACGACAGAAAGGGATCTCAGGAAACGCAGAAGCGCCCTAGGACATCTCGAAAAGAAAAAGCAGGTCAGAGGGTCCGTATCATAGAGCAGAGTCCACACGCAATGCAAGCAAATACCGCTCTGCCGAAGGATGCTTCGCACGACCAAAAAGCCTCCGTGGGTGAGGAGCCCAGTGTTTGCTATGCCATGACAGCTGTCTCTGAATCAAACGATGTTGACAACGGAAATTGGCGAAATGCTGACCGCGCGTGTAAAAATAAACGCCGAGGCTCTCTACCAAACAGGCATCGCGACCGAAAACGAAATATCGCCATAAATGAAGCTCTAGAGTCCACTTCTTCGATTACAAAAGAAAGAATCGAACACGATCTCAACCTCTTTCGAATATATACAAATGACATCCTTCAGGACGGAGAACGTGTTACCGTGTCCAAAACTTTCCGCCTAGGAAACGCAGATGCGTCGCGTGGACTACCAAGGCACCTGAAAATCATGCTAGCAAATGAAGTCCAGGCTTCACACCTCCTCTAAGGGAGGATGGCTCTCCGTCATTCGCATAAGAGGGTGGTTTAAGCCGTATTATGAACCAACAGAAAGACAAGATGATGGAACTTTGGACAGAACTGAAAAGAAGGACAGAAGAGGGGGAGAAGGGGTTGAAAATAAACGAAGGCAAGATAATATGGATCAAACGATCGTCCCTGTGGCTGACACCCTTTGTAATCAGAACCGATTTCCGCCGAGAAGACGAACACAAAAGGTGTTGTACACGAATGGGCAGAGCCTGGTTAACAAGATGGATGAAGTCAGGCCTCTGATCGATGAGCACACGCCAGATATCATCGTCTTAACAGGAACATGACTTTCTGAAGCTATTGGAGGTCATGAAGTATCCCTCAGAGGCTACCAACTGTCTAGAAGAGACAGGAAAAGCCGAGGAGGAGTAGTCGCTGTCTATGTTAGCTACAACCTGACCGCAGTCCCTGGGCAACATCCAACAACAACAGCAGAAGTGGAATTCTTATCTTTAACTATCTCCACTAAATACGCCCGGCCACTGGCGTTTACAGTTGTATATCGTCCCCCAAACCAGATTGCCGAACACGGTAGCCTTCTCCTTAGGGAACTGAACAAGACTTGCTCAAAGAGCGACGTCCTTATTGTCGGGGACTTTAACGGCCCCAATATCGACTGGCAAGCTTGGACGGTTTCGGGTCCATCGAACACATTCGGACAACATTCGCTCGAAATGGCAACAGAAAAACTACTTTTTCAGAATGTAACTCTGGAAACACGTGTAAGGGAAGGACAACGTTCGAACTGCCTTGACCTGGTGCCCACTCGAGTTGAGAAGAGTGTGCCGGAAATACAAGATCTCTCGCCAATCGGTGCTTGTGATCATATTTTGATGCCCTTCGAGTATTCATGTTCTCCCAACCTGATTTACCTGAAGAATTACAAACAAATATCTGGAAGGGAGATTTTTCCAGCATGCGAACTCAAGTCTCAGAAATACCGTGGACAAGCACATTGCAGGGAACAGTTAACGACTACTGGAGCACGTTCAGCTCACTGGTCAAAAGGATCGTTAATCTAAACTCTCGACTGCGACAAAAGAAAACAAGCAACCGTCCGCCGTGGATAAATCGGGAACTGCGAACAGCGTTTAAGAGGAGAAATAAAGTGTGCAGACTTTATTGACAGAGAGTCCTGAACACCTGAAGGAATACAAGCGACAGCGGAATGTGTGCAATTGCGAGGCTAATGGACTTCAAAGTAACTATGAGTTATGCATATTGCAGCCCTCTTTGGAGCATCCTAAAATCCTCTATAGTTGCATGCGTAGTGGCAAGAGCAATCACGGCCCGATTCCGGCGCTGAGATCCCAATACGGAGTAATTGAGACAGATGACCACCTGAAAGCATCATCCTTCTCCAGTTTCTTTCAGTCGGTATTCACTCATGGCACAAATCCGCTCCTATGCCTTACGTAGACCAACGACAAAATCCTTCCTTTCCTGCATTGGAAGACAACCTTTTCTTCTCACTCACGTTGATAACGACTGAACTGCACTGGCTGAAGTCTGCGAAATTACCTGGCCCAGATAGAATTCATTCACTTGTCCACCGAGAATTAACTGACGTACTGTGTTAGTCGGTGTCCATGATATTTCAGAAGTCCATGGAAGAAGGAGAACTACCGGAGGAATGGTAAACGGCCCACATTTCTTCAATCTACAAAGGCGGATACAGGCTGGAGCCCGAAAATAATCGTCCTATTATTTTAACCTGCATTTCGTGCAAGGTTATGGAACGACTTATTAAAGGACATTAAATGTCGTATCTGGAGCAGAGGGACTTGTTGTGTGCTGCTCAGCACGGACTTCGTCGTGGTCACTCCTGTTTTACAAGCAGTCCTTACTCGCAGGAAAAATGGACGACAGCCATAGACCAGGGCCGTTCAGTGGATACCATCTTCTTTGACTTTAAGAAGGCGTTTTATAGCATTCCTCATGGACGACTTCTACAGAAGACTTGGGAGTGCGGAATACAGGGCATTGGCTGGCACCAAACTCTCACTTGTGGCTCCCCAAAGCCCGGCTCTGTCTAGCGGCCACACCCCGCTAACCGCCTCGACCGACGGGTTAAACCAGCTGAGGGTACAGTGTGCGCATCTCCACACACGGTAACTCAGCTCCGCTGGCCGGATGAATCACTGCCTTGGTATCTCCGAGAAGAGACTCCATCTGCAACACTGCAGGAGGCCACAAGGTAAGAGAGCCCCCAGGCAAGCAAACATTGCTCTGCCGTCTTTGCTTTGCTTGTTCATACTTGCTTGATTTCTGTCTACTTGTTTATGTTTGTCCTTGTCGTAAGCCAAATGCTGTTCCGTTGAATTTCCTCTGTCTGCCTTTGCTTCTACATGTTCTTGCTTGCCTGCCCTTTGTCTACCTGTTTGCGTCTGTATTAGCTGTATGTCAACTGCTGTTCTTTTGAATCTGTCTGCTCACCGCTCATATATTTCAGCAACCAGTTCGCTTAGAGAGGGACGGGGAAGGTCTGTTTTCCGTCTTTCAACCCCCCCCCCCCCTGCCTACAAGCCCTACGACGATGTCATAGGCAGGCCCAGGCAAAATCGGGTCGTTCTTCCACCAAATAAAAGCCGTGACCCATAGTGGAGTTCGGCAGCCTCCTGGGACAACTGGGCTCACCCACACAAGGGGAAAGAGCGATAAAAGGTGCCATAAACAGATTCTGGGGGCTCACACCGTCTGCGGGCTGACTGTGGCCTAAGACGCAAAACGCACGGTCGAAACAACCAAATCCAAAACAACATACCTTCTCCTCCTCCTCCTCCCCGCCGCCCCACTCACCAGACTGGTAGGTTGAGTCCGCTCACTCCGAACAGCCTGAAATGTCCGTTCCCTTTTAGACAATCCGAAGAGCAATCGACCGGCTCGGAGGACAGCGCTAGTGGCTTGGAGGCTGGCGCGCTACAAGGTGGACATCGCTGCATTCAGCGAGACCCGATTCTCCGAACCAAGCTATCTGGAGGAGGTGTGTGTGCCGGCTACACCTTCTTCTGGACGCGGGCGTCGCTTTTGCTATCCGGAATGACACCGTGGGATGACTGCCTTATCTACCGCAGAGTATCAATGATCGCCTGATGAGCCTCCACCTGCCTCTCCAGGGAAGCAAATTCGCCACCATCGTCGGCGTCTACGCCCCCGCCGATGACCAGCCCTGACGAGGTGAGGAGCAAATTTTATGAGGACCTGCACGCCTTCCTGGCGTCTGTGTCGAAGACGGATAAGTTGATTGTCCTTGGTGACTTATACGTCCGCGTCGGAACAGACCACGTTGCCTGGAGAGGAGTACTGAGTCCCCATGGTATCGACGGCTCCAATGACAATGGCCTGCTTCCCGACGAACATGCGCAGAACACCGGCTCATACTGACCAACACATGCTTCTGCCGATGCGAGAGAAGTCCACCTGGATGCATCCACGGTCACGGCATTGACACCTGCTGGACTATGTCCTCGTCCGGAGGTGAGACCAGCGGGACGTGCTGGTGACAAGGGCGATCCCGGGTGCCGATGGGTAGACCGGCCATCGTCTCATCATCTCCAATATGCCGATTCACTTACCGCCTCACAGGAGACCTCAAGGTAAACGACTCACAGGTAAGCTGAATATTGCCTTGTTGTCTTTGCATGCTCACCATCTAAATTTCAGCAATGAGCTAGCTGAATGGCTAGCCAACATTCCAATCGCCGTTGCCGCCACTGACGTGACCGCCTCCCTGAAGAACCGATAGTGTCAACTGCGCGACACAGTCCAGTCGACGGCTCTCGATCGCGCACTTCGCCAGGACTGTTTCGATGACAACGATGCCACCATAAACAACCTTCTCGCCGAGGGGAACCGCCTGCACAAAGCCTACGCCAACCGCACCACCGACGACAACACAGCCGCCTTGTGCAACAGCGGCTGCGCGAGATGCAGGACGCTTTGACAGCCCGCAAGGCCGAGGAGATCCAAGGGTACGCGGACTGCAACGAATGGAAGAATTTCCTCTACGCGATCAAAGCTGCTTACGGTCCACCAACCAAAGGCACTGCTCCTCTTTTCACCGCCGACGGCAGGACCCTACTCACTGAGAAGACGAAAATTCTTCAGCGATGGGCCGAGCACTTCAGAAGCGTCCTTAACCGTCTCTCCAACATGTCCGACGCCGAAATCGCTCGTCTGCTTCAAGGGGGGACCAACGTCGACCTCGACCTCCCGCCCTCTCTCAACGAAAACACCAAGGCCGTGCAACAAAGGGAAAGCGGAAAAGCGTCCGGATCGGACGCAATTCCTGCCGAGGTCTACAAGCACGGTGGCCCCGAAATCGTGGGTCATCTGACGGCGCTCTTCCGGCGATTTGGCGTCAAGGAGAAGTTCCTCAGGACTTTAAGGACTGCACCGTCCACCTATATAAGTGGAAAGGTAACAACCAACTCTGTGACAACCATCGAGACCTCTCCTTGTTGAACATCGCCGGAACAATTTTAGCTCGCATTCTCCTCAACCGCCTGAACCAAAATCTGGAACAGGGTCTCCTGCCGGAAAGCCAGTGCGGCTTCTGCCGTCGTCGTGCCACCACCGACATGATCTTCGCCGCCTGTCAATTGCAGGAGAAGTGTCAAGAGATGCGGACCCACCTCTACTCTACCTTCGGGTAGAGTTTCGCGAAGGACTGTAAAAGATCATGCAGAAACTCGGCTGTTCCGAACGATTCACTCAGATGGCGCGTCAGTTCCATGATGACATGATAGCGTGAGTCACAAGCAATGGAGCTGTCTCAGAGGCATTCTCAGTGACCAAGGGAGTGAGACAGGGCTGCGTGCTCGCGCCTACCCTCCCCAGTTTCATGTACTCTGCCATGCGGATGGACGCCGTCAGTAACAAACGCCCTGGAATCCGCATCGCCTACAGGACGGACGGCGAACTCCTCAACCACCGGCGAATGCACTTCCAGTCGCTTGTATCCACAACTACAGTTTACGAACTTCTCTTCGCCGACGACTGCGCCCTTGATGCCACCTCGAAAGGACACATGCAAAGGGGCGTGGACCTCTTCGACACCGCCTGCGACCACTTCGGCCCGATCATCAACACGGAGGAAACGGTGGTTATAGATCAGCCGCCACCTAACGCTGCCTACTCGCACCCCAAATTAATGTGAACGGCCCCCAACTGCAAGCCGTGGTCAACTTCACCTACCTGGACAGCACCCTCTCCTGCACCACCTAGATCGATAATGAAGTTGTCCGCCAAATCTCCAAAGCCTGCCAAGCCTTCGGCCGTCTGCAAAGCACGGTCTGGGATCGCCAAGATCTCCACATCAACACCAGACCAAAGATGTACCAGGCAATAATCCTGCCGACGCTGCTGCATGGAGCGCAGACCTGAACGGTTTACAAGAAGTAGGCGCGAAGACTCAACCACTTCCATCTGAGCTTTCTTCGACGGATACTGAAACTGAGATGAGAGGACCGGATTCCGGACACGGATGTACTGGAGCCGACGGGAATCCTCAGTACCTACGCCATACTGAGACAGCTGTAATTGCGTTGGAGCGGCCACCTCGAGCGGATGGACGACAAGCGGCTATCCAAACGACTCATACAGAGATGTCGCCACGGGTTTCCGCTGACAAGGAGGCCAAGTCCGTCACCACAAGGACACTGAAGACCACCCTGAAGCGTCTGCAGATCAATCCGGCCAACGGGGAAGATCTCGCCCGAGACCGACCTGGAGGACAGGGAAGACAGACGCAGCGATCTACGAAGGCAACCGCATCACCGCCGTCAAAGCCAAACGCGAGGCTCGCAAATCCCAACTGCGTCTGCCTCGCAATGCCAATACTCGATCACCCCGACCTGTGCACGCTTTCAGCGGACGTTCCGGGTACAAATCGGCCTTATAGGACATCTTCGTACCGACTGCAGTACCCGGACTTCATCATCCAGCTCTGCCTTATCCTAAACGCCGCCAAAGACCATTGGCCGCACTCCCGAACCCCCACCACCACCACCACCACCACCATCATCATCATCATCATCATCATCATCACCATCATCCTTGCTTTAACATCCGCTACGGTGGCTCCTGTACCCACCAACACTGCACAAAATCCTGACACACCAACAACCGCCCGACCAACAACGCCAGTAATGTGGACTTGATCCACACCTGTTGTCGTGGCCACCGCACTTTCAACCCACACATCGACCTATTCGGCCATTCCATCGTACAGAGACTGGCGAACCAGTGCCTGGAGCACCAACCGATACTCTCCGCATTGGCCTCCATTTTCTATACTGCCCCCGCACATTCACTCACGGCAGGGGTCTATTCGGTCACATGCGTATCCATGAGAGCGGAATTGACCGCAGTCTGAACACACCTAACAACTCTTGCACACCCACCATTCCTAACTCAGCGAACACCCCGTCATCCAGCGCGTCCACCATCAGCAGCTCCACCACTGCCATTACCTCCAAAACCGACAATGACACCATCGACTTTTCCTGTCCACACTGTCCCCGTACATTCACCTCACACATCGGCCTGGTCGGTCACTTGCGAATCCATTACACAGGGGCTGGCGAACCAGTGCCTGAAGCACCCACATACACCAGATGCATTCGCCTTAACTGCCCTCACTGCACCCGAACATTCATTCACTGCATGCGTCTATCGGGCCAAATGCGCATTCACGAAAACCTGCGACAGGCAACTGCTGGTGAAACCACATAATCACATCGTTCTCCGCCCACATCACGCAACATCATCATCCACCACAAGCATCCAATTGTCACCTCCCATGCAGGTGGCAATTGTGAGTCTCGGCTATGTCTTCATGCGGCCTATACTTCATGTGTGATTCGATCCTGAGGCTTTCACGGCGCGTCAGGCGCTGTGGTTTGGAAAGCTGCTGACTGATGCCCCAACTCAGTCCACGAAGTCTGCCCAGTTGTGTTTGTGTATATGTTGAGTGGCGGATTGGTAGGCTGAGAGCCAGGCTGAAGCGGCTCCTTCTTAACGTGACCTACAGCATTCTCACGCATGTGAGATGTACCTCACTTAACCCCCGTTGTGTGGAATCCCGGTGCTTGTGTTTGGGGGGCCAGGTCGTGCATGTGGCGCGCGCAGACAAGGTCACTAGACTATGTCAGCCACCGCGCCCATTCTCCGCACCTGCCTACTGACCGGCTCGGACAGTGGCTGGGACCGGAGAATGAAGAGTGAGGTCGACGACTCTGCACACTTTCCTCACTATAAACAATCTGACACGCTTGAAGCTATCACGGTACGCTAAAAGCCGTGACTTGGAAGGTGGCCAACTGACGGGATAACTTGGACCTCGCAGTCTGCCCAGTGCTGTGTGTTTGTGTGGAGCGGCCGACTGGTGGTCTAAGAGTCAGGCTGCAATGGCTCCTTCTTAATGTGGCCTCAATGGCACTATCACTTCGTGTGACGACACGCCTAGGTGGAGTTCCGGCCGTGCCAGCCACCCTTTTGTTGTTGGTCAAAGTCCAGGTAACGTGCTGTGTGGACCAGGGGGTGTGGAGTGGAACACCAAGGTGCGGACTCGACCATGCCATCCACCTGCGCCCTCGCCCGCCTCCGGTCTTCTTGACTATGTCTTGGAACCGGGTTCGGGCGGGGGGGGGGGAGGAGAGAGTGCGGTAGATGCTGTGCAAGTCTACATCCACTATAAACTAAATCCACGCGCAAGTCATCGTGTCTGCTTCACCTTGTTATGGAGCACACGGCGGACATGGTCGGCAACGACGGTCGAACTGTCGTATTGGCCTGATGACGAACTACCGAAAACACATGTTTGCCAACTGACTTTCAGTCGTGATATGAGATTTTTCGCATAACTTTTTGTAATAGTAGGCAAAGCAGAAAAATTAACTTTGGTAGCATCTCGTCGTGCGGCGTGACCGACACAGTGAGCCAGATTAAGAGGGCAAAGGTACACCGGTAAAAAATAGTGAGACATGCAAGAGCCGGAGATGATAAAAGTGGCGGCATTCAAAAAGATTCAGGAGCAGAGAAGTCTCGGAACCACATCCCCCGCCCCGCACCCGAAAGTCACTTCGGCTCTTGTCTGCGCGTCGTAGTAACAGCGGAAATTGGAAAAGGCATAATTGCATCGACTTCCACGGTAGGTCTGACACCGCGATACGTGGTCTTTTTAAAGATCGGCGTAACTGTGGCAGCGCTTTAGTCTGTGGGCAAGGTCTCCACCTCTGGCCAGAGGGCCGCGCAACCGATAAATTGAAACTTCTGAGCATCATTTGTGGACTTCCGCCGAGAGCCTGACTTCGCTAGGAGCCTTGTATTTATCTACCTCTTCATGACGGGCTGTAGTCGCAGTCCCATTTTGGAGCCGAGGCGTCCTCAAAATGAGCGGTGGCTGGGGGAGAAGGGCACGCCTGCTGGGTGGGAGGAGGCGAGTTTTAGGGGATAGTTCTGAGAAAGGGGACCGGCTCTTTGGAGCAAGCTTTGTTCGCTCGACGCTTCGAATTCCCTCCTAGGTCCGCCATTCAAATAGGGCGACAGATGAAAGTAATGAATGCTCGGAGAACGCGGTTGTCGTTACTATGCAACTAAAAAGCTAGCAAAATCAGTAATGGCCGGTGTTCGTAAATGAACGTGAACTACGCGCTCGGCTGAGGTTTTCATCGACAAGTTCGGCGTATTCTTCTATTCATGACCACTGCTATGTCGGTGTTGAGAGTCGATCCGAAGTTGGTACATCTGGAGACAGGGACATCGCGGCTTTAGTGTGACCATCCCGGCTGTGATAGTCAGTCCTTCGATTAAAAGTGGTCTTCGGTTCCAGCCTTAGTCACCTTCGTCTAGGCCTCGAAACGACCTTAGATTAGCCTCCAATCGGTTCTGTAGTTGGTGACGGACTTCCACGTAGAAGGCATGGGTTTTCAAACCGATCCTGCACCACAATACTTCAGGAATTGACACCAATCTATAAAACTCGATTCAACGACGCACAGATCAAGCCGGCTTCACTATTTCGATGCCCTCCGCTCTAAAAAGGGGTGCTCAGTGCAGTGACTGCGATGTCTGAACTCACGCACGCGTCCCACCGCCCACCACAATCCAAATGGACCTGCCCCTAATTGAGGTCCATCTAGACCCTAGCCAAGCGTGTTTGTTTCGTGCCCAACAAGAAGGCTCCAGCCTCTAATTTCCAATGCACATCCAGAATTAACGTTAGGTTCTCCATACACCTCCAAACCCAGCGTAATGCCGAGAGCGTTGCAAGCGATGGCGTCCGCCGCCTGCCCCACAGAGTGGGCGAAGCATCGGTGACTTGCGCGGCATCTGCCACACCCACTCTTCTGCCGCCCACCTTTCTCTGATGGCAAGACGACCGGCGGTAGGCGGACGGAGTGGCCGACGAAGCTAAACTGCCCGTCTACGCGTGCCACCCACATGACCCGGTCCCTGCTGGGCGGCTCGGATATCGCACGCGTGGGTGTCATGAAAGTCTGACTCTCAATCTCCAGTCCTCTCTACTATACTCGTCGGCTGACAGCCTTTCTAGGTACGACTCTCGACGCGTTATGAAAGAGTCAAGAGCGTCAGATTTATTACAGTGAGGAATGTGGTAATTTGCCGCGAGGATGGGGTCCCCAATGTCAGCCTCGCTTTCTCCCATCGCTCTTACATGTGCAGGTCAATTTTATGAGCCCATCAACGTGCCGGTGATGATATTAGGCGGTAACTGACAGGGCTGGACAAGCCATCACACGCGACCTGACCACAACTTCATGTACCGAGACACCCCAATGGACATGCTTCCCACATGCACCATAGGTGCGTGCTTTTCGAGGCAGTAAGCGGATCCGACCTCACATACGTGGGAGCGCCATAAAGGCGACATCCAGGAGCTATTCACGGACTCAGACCGCCAACTAGTCACCCCACATGCACGCACAGTAATGACCGCGTCAGATTTATTATAACAGGGAATGAGCTGATGAGTCAGGGCACAGTGGCTGCCAAGGCTAAACGGCCCGTCTACGCGTGCCACACACGACCTGGTGCCCACCTAAGTTGCTCCACGCTTCTGTGAGGGTGGCTGGGGCCTCGTGTGAGCGGAAATGCCAATGAGGCCACATGAAGAAGAGGCTGTTGCAGCCTAACTGTCAGCTCCAAAATGGACCCCGGGAAGACGGGTTGCCCGTTAGCCTAGCTGCTGGCTACCCGGCGCGTCCACAGGTGGGCGCAGTGGTTGGCAAGGCCAAACAACCCATCTACGCGTGCCCACATGAATTGCTCCACGCTTCTGTGAGGATGGCTGGGGCCTCGTGTGAGCGGAAATGCCAATGAGGCTGTTGCAGCCTGACTGTCAGCCCCGAAATGGACTGAGGTATACCGGCAGTTAACAACCTTCCAGGCCGAGACTCTTAGCCGCGTAGTCATGGAGTCCGGTGCGTCTGATCTATTATAATGAGGAAAGTGCTGACACGCTGTGCGGATGGATTCCCTAGTGTCAGCCTCGCCCTTTCCTACCTCTTCCATGCGCCGCCGTCATGTCTACAATAAGCACCGACTGATTATGTTCGCCATCGTGCTCAAGGTCAGCTTGAATAAATTCATGATATCACCAAATATAAATTATGTAAAAAGTACTAAATAAGCATTATCACTGTCTGCTGAAGAGTCAGCAGTCAAGAAGATCTCGGTAATCGAAAAAGACACCAGTACCAAAAGCAAAAGAACCCAACAAAGTGGCCAAAACTGACTGCGTTAACAGCTAGCGAGAAAATGAAAGGATAACTGGCGGGAGGGCTGACTATCGCCTGGAGGCCAAATAGGCCAAAGTAGATTACCATGGACACATTCAGAGGCCAAAAGGCCGGCAAGGCAAGTGGGTCCCTACCAGAGGGGTTGAAGTGGATAAAAGCCAATCCTAAAGCATAAAAGCACACGGACAAAACAATGCAGGCGTGAGCAAGACCGTCCTTAAGAAGGAGGGGCCAAAGACTGAGGGTAGAGACCACACAAAAGTAGAAGGAGGCTATGGGAGTGAGGGGGAACATACAGAGCACCGGAACAGCACACAAGAGGATGGACTTCTCGTGAACCTGGTAGGAGAACAGGAAGAAGGCCAGCGAGACGACAACTTGGGCATGCGCCAGGCGAGGTTTGGTCGGACGCCGGAGGAGGTTGACGCAGGCGGGTAAGGCGGCGAGGAGAGTGAGGAGCGTGCAGGCGACAAGAATGGCCTGGGTGGAGAGGAGGGTCCGCCACTTTATCAGCAGGGAAGAAATGCACCAAAAGTTTGCTACCTTATCCTCAAAGAGGCCGCGAGCAAGGGGAAACAAGCGATAGCCAATCTGCGCCAACTGCTCCCTCGAGGACAGGAAGGGAAGCAATACCAGACCAAAAGTGGTGCAAACCGTAGCAGCCAGGTAGAAGAACTGAAGAGCGGCACGCCTCGGTGTCTGACAAAGACAACGGCCGAGAAGGAAGCAGAAAAAGGGCAGAGCATGATATAATTCCATTTGCTTGTAGGCCAAGGCCAGGCAGAAGGAGATGGTGCCAAGGACACTGTGATCGCTGCAGAAGAGACCGAAGGCCGAGAGAAAAAGACCAAGGCTCACACAATTGTACTGAAAGTGACCATGATCTATCAGTATCAAGCCGGGATATGAAAACATGAGGAGCGAAAGGACACCTGGACCGACGCAGGGCGTCATCGTGAGGTGCTTGACAGCAGTACAGACGAAGTAGATGACAGCTGGGGTGTAGGTTAGGAGTTCAGAGAGGAGAACGGTGTAGCGCATAAAAACCTTATGTTCGGCGGTTTCCAGCCCTCTTGAGGCATACAACTCCACCCAGGAGGCGTTCACCTTCTGAGCAATGCTTCCAAGAAGGTAGCTGTGGTAGGCCGTCAGCGGGGGATAATCCAGACCCCAGTAGTTGAGATCATTTTCTGAGGAGTTGAAGTACCAACTGCGTGCGGGAAGATTTACAGTTATTTCCATCCAGTGACGTTGGGCTTCAAAGTCGCCAAACATCGGCGGTGAGCCAGCACCGGAATAGGGGTGCAGCATTGTGGCGCAACGCAGACAGAGGCCGATGGATAGGGGTAAGATAATACCGACCAGAATGTCCGATTTCGCCTTGGGTTGCATGATGTCTGAAAAAGCAAAGACCTCGATTGCCATCTGAGAAATGACCTATTCAATATGACCTAAATTGTAATTGTTCATTGCTATTTGTTCGTATGAAACCCAACAGGAATGCAAGGGAATGGAGCTAAGCACGAAAAACAATTAATAAATATTTTAAAAAAGAATGCTACAAGTTGCAGTGTTGTCAAGACACTGAATAAGTCACCCTCCGTCAACTGAGACAGTGGGATAAACACAGTGGGAGAACGTTAACAACCAACATGGCTGTGAACTATATGTGGTCTAAGTCTGGAAGACACGTTCGTAAGTAATCATCGGGACACTATAGATGTGTAAACCGTTATATGTCCAGGGCAATTTATCATGGGGTCGGTGTTCACTCTCGGAAGCAAAGCGGGCCAGTAGGATGGTTAAGGAGAAAAGCAGAATGAAATCATCAGAATTGATGGAGAAGGAGACTTCGGATGGATATGTGTTGTGTCAAGGTCAACGCAAGGGCTCTGCACAAGTCTTTTGGCCCCAGATGCCCGGGTTCCAAATCGGATGGCCATTTATTTAGTCAGAATGGAGTGAAGCAAAGGTCGTCTTCAACTCGATACCATACCACTTGGTAAGTAGTAGCTCCCATGTGGACGCTGATCAGGCCACGCGAGTCATATATGGGGGGTTGGTTTTCCATGCAAACTTATTGCAGCAATGGATTATGTAGACGACAGAAATGGCTACGACAAGCAAGAAAGTGGCCCCGATTTTACGTTTATTGTATCTTAAAGCATGCCTGAGAAATCTACCGACCGTAATGGTTGCTCATCGCTTCTCCCCGACGGAAAAACTGCACCGATTGACCAATGGTCTTCCCCCTCCTGTGAAACCCAACAGTTCATAATTTCTTGTGACGATGCGACTTATTAAAATACAATGGCCCGATAATTCGTCGCAAACAACGACTGGTTGACGTGTTCAAACTCGACCCAAAACATTCAACAGTCCGGAGAGTCCCTGGTTTCCTCAGGCCGATGCCATTTCCTCCTGCCATATGACCATGCGGTGACCATTTCATGCGGGAAATCGCAAAACACTAATATTTAGATCGTAAACTGGAAGAACCAAATACATAGAAAACATCTTCCTCTGATTATACGGTTAAACGGCTAGCTGGTATATTAAAAAAGTAAAGTCGTCTGAAAATACATGCAAATCTTCCTAATAACCTGGGGGTGGGGGGGGGGGGG